TATTTCTGTTTATTTTGTGTTTGTTTGAGCTAGTTATTTCTGTTTATTTTGTGTTTGTTTGAGCTAGTTATTTCTGTTTATTTTGTCAGTTTTCTTTGAGCTAGTTATTTCTATTTATTTTGTCAGTTTTCTTTGAGCTAGTTATTTCTGTTTATTTTGTCAGTTTCGTTTGAGCTAGTTATTTCTATTTATTTTGTCAGTTTTCTTTAAGCTAGTTATTTCTGTTTATTTTGTCAGTTTTCTTTAAGCTAGTTATTTCTGTTTATTTTGTCAGTTTTCTTTGAGCTAGTTATTTCTGTTTATTTTGTCAGTTTTCTTTGAGCTAGTTATTTCTGTTTATTTTATCAGTTTTCTTTGAGCTAGTTATATCTGTTTATTTTGTGTCTGAAAGAGTTGGTTATTTTTTATTTGCAAGTTTCTTTAAATAATAGGTTTTTTTTCTGGCGTCACAATGAATTGAGTACTTTTCCATCAATGTTTACTACGTAAAACTGGTAAGAATTTGCCTTATCTAGCGGTAGGACTTGTTGCCACGTGGCATATCTTTTGTTCAAGGAACTGACATCTTACCAGTTCCGAGGTCATCTTGTACCTCAAGCAATTTTTTTGAAGAAAACTTGTATATATATGTCCAGATCTGACCGTAGAGGTAAATTTAGCGATACATCGTGCTAGTTAGTCCATTAAGATCGTCGTGCTAGTTAGTCCATTAAGCTCTATAAGTGAAAGTATGTCTTAGAAATCTGGTAGACACAGAATATCTGAATAACGTGATATGTTGCTTGAGACGGTATCCAGAACATGTGCATGACTTGTAACCCATCCAGGCTGTAATTAAAATTCCCCTTGCTCATGTGGGCTGTGGGTGAGAGGCCTGTATGCACACGTCCTCGCTGTTGGTGTCCACCACTCGGTATTTTTGTGGGTGGGGTTGCACATGAAACAAGGTGCTGCGTGCAGACGACACACCCTCTATGACCCATGAAGAGGAAACCAAAAGGGGAATCTCCATCTAGTGACACGCCTGAAGGCCGAAGGTCAAAGGTTAGCAGCAGTTTTGGCTGAAGGCCAAGTCCATCCTAAGCTACAGACAGCCCCATGAAACTATAATATATATATATACACTGTTGTTCTGGCATATTTTGTAGCGCCACCTATCGGTTAGAGTTCACACAAATATTCTGGCGACAAAATATTGTATATCCAGTTTCTAAATAATACGAATAATAAATTCATGTCTGTGTTCTTTTAGAATATGATTGAAAAGTATGTAATTCAAATGTATAACAATCACTAAAAGTCCATAATATCAGATCATCATGTAGGAGAAGTATTATCAGTTCCATCATCATTTAGGAGAATTATTATCAGTTCCATCATCATTTAGGAGAATTATTATCAGTTCCATCATCGTTTAGGAGAATTATTATCAGTTCTATCATCATATAGGAAATTATTATCAGTTCCATCATCATTTAGGAGAATTATTATCAGTTCCATCATCGTTTAGGAGAATTATTATCAGTTCCATCATCGTTTAGGAGAATTATTATCAGTTCTATCATCATATAGGAGAATTATTATCAGTTCCATCATCGTTTAGGAGAATTATTATCAGTTCCATCATCATTTAGGAGAATTATTATCAGTTCCATCATCGTTTAGGAGAATTATTATCAGTTCCATCATCATGTAGGAGAATTATTATCAGTTCCATCATCATGGAGGAGAATTATTATCAGTTCCATCATCATGTAGGAGAATTATTATCAGTTCCATCATCATTTAGGATAATTATTATCAGATATACACAGCCGTAACAACATATACAATCAGTTATACACAGGCGTAAAAGTACATACAATCAGTTATACACAGCCACAACAGTATATACAATCAGTTATACACAGGCGTAACAGTACATACAATCAGTTATACACAGCCACAACAGTATATACAATCAGTTATACACAGCCACAACAGTATATACAATCAGTTATACACAGCCACAACAGTACATACAATCAGTTATACACAGCCACAACAGTATATACAATCAGTTATACACAGCCACAACAGTACATACAATCAGTTATACACAGCCACAACAGTACATACAATCAGTTATACACAGCCACAACAGTATATACAATCAGTTATACACATAACAATGTTCGACTGAGAGTATGTGTATAAGCAGTTATACACATAAATAGCAGAACATATATCAGTTTTTTTTTGGGGGGGGTGACGATTGTGGGCACATATGACCAATGAATTTAAAAGCAGTAATTTTCCCTGATAATTATATACAAGTTTCTATTCCCCATTATATAAAAGCAGTAAGTTTCCCTGATAATTATATACAAGTTTCTATTCCCCATTATATAAAAGCAGTAAGTTTCCCTGATAATTATATACAAGTTTCTATTCCCCATTATATAAAAGCATTAAGTTTCCCTGATAATT